TGTCAGACAGCCAGTGTGAAGCCATCAGTGAATCAGATCAGTCGCTGACAGTCATCCAGTCAGTCAGTGAATCAGTCATTGTGTCTTGTTAGTGTCTTGTTGGTCTACCTGTCTCTGTCAGTCATTATCAGTGCTAGCAGGTGAGTCACTGTCAGTCAGTTTCAGTCAGTCCATCAGTGTTAGTCAGTATCAGTCAGTCAGTGTCAGTTAGTGTCTGTCAGTCAGCCAATATCAGTCAGTATCAGCCAGTCAATAAGTACATCATTTGGGTAGCTTCTGAGCACTGTGCTCTTCTGCCTTTTTGTTTATTTACCCAGTGCCTTTCCTGAGTCTGGAAATTAGGATGGGATAGCTGTGTCATTCCGCCATGAGGTTAGAGAGGTATCTCCAAAAGCTCAGGATGAATTCATTACCAAGCTAGGTCAGGCCACTTGCTGCCAGGCTAAGCTTTGTGAGCTCTGAAGGCATCAGTTTAGAAATAAGTCAAAGAGAACAATGTTAGCTTTGAGCCTCTTCCTCCCACACATGGGTTTTTGGCATTATTCCACCAAAGTGCTCTGGTCTCGATCCCGGGGCTGGTCTGATGACCAGGATGGTGCCTTGGGCTCTGCAGCAGCAGGCCCTTTGCTTTCTTCTCACAGAAGGCAGTGTTGTCTGTGGATGGCCAAACATGAGGTGTTTCCTAACTCTGCTGCTTCTTTCTCAAATAGGACCATAGCTGAGGGTGGAGCCACTGCGAGCCTTGGTTTAGGCCCCAGATTTGACCACTGTTGTTGGCATGTGTTTTGTCTGCCCAAACAATACCCCCTTTCTTTGAGAGAACTACTCATCTCCCCTCTCCTTCAACACCCACCTACCCTGTGGATATGTGTAGGGACTCACAATCACAATGTATGCCCTTATCCTAGCCAGATTTGGGTGTGAGACCCAGGCTGAATCAAGTGTAGTACTTCCTTATTCTGCAGTGATTGGTCCAGGGATGGGCACATGACCCAAGCCAAGCCAATCAAAATCCTTCTGGATTTTTCTGAAGCTGCATCTTGAGTCCTTTGCTAGAAGCATATGCCATTAAATCTGCTAGCAGAATGTCCCACCATGTGGGGGAGAATTTAGAAAGAGATAATAAACAGAAGGAAACAGGTGCCAAAGGAAGCAGACCAGAAGCTAGAGTTTCTAGCCTCTAATTCCGGTCCGCCCCACAGCTGTCTTTATCCCGGCTTCCTGCCATTTGGTTCTGTGAGGCACAGTTGTAGCCAAAGAAACTTTCTTCATACCAATACTATAGTTGCTGCCAGTTGTAGACACCTCCTGCCCATTTGGAAGTAGATGATCCAGTGTAGAGTTTTCCCAAGCCTAACAACTTCTGCCCTTTTAGTCTCTTGCATCAGGAGTGGACAGGCACAGCCCAGGGAGGCACCTCAGTTCTCAGGTATATATAGCAGGTAGACCCTCAGGAGGAAACCTGAGGGGCCTGCATCTTCCCCGGGTGGTCATGGCTTTTTCCAGCTATGACGTGTGTGTATCTTCTACTCAGTGCTCTGCTATAAACACACTCTAGGTGCTGGGAATGTTTTCTTATCTTCTTGGTGGCTTTATAGGCATATGATCTCTGCAGTCACGCAGACCCCCCACACACACACTTAGAAGGATCCCATGCTTGCTTCAGTGTTCTATTATCGCCATCTTGAAATTCTTAATCATTTGGAACAAAGAGCCCAGCATTTTAATTTTTTACAGAGCCTCTTGAAGTATGTAGTTGGTCTTGGCTCTGTGCAGTCCTTTGAGGTAGAATTTGTGATGCCAGTGAATTGTTTCAGCTCCCAGAACCCCTTTCTCCTTTGGTCCCATATTGTTTTCCTTATTCTTTAATGTCTCTCCCTCTCCCCTACTCTCCTATAACCTTCCCCTCACCCACCCCTATAGGAAGAAAGACTGACAACCTCTGTGGTCTCACCCCCACCATACCCACTCCACCCAGCAACTGGCTCATTGCTCCCCATCCGAGTTCTGTGTAAAAACAAAGCTGAGATTTGCTTTCTTTGAACAGTGTTGTTCTGAGTGGCTGTACTCACTTCTGCCCCTCAAACCTCAACATCCTGCAATGTGGCCTCAAATCCTCTTCCAGGTGGAGCCTTTCTAATGGGAGCAGTCAAGAACTCTGCTGCAGGTTCAAACAAGCATAGCTGCCTTTTGGGCCACCTCATAGGTCTGTGATGAGGATTTAAAACTATAGCAAACAGGTGAGAAGCCTGTGTCCTTCAGAACAACCATCAAAAGTGTGTTCTTGCCATGGGTTTGGCGACCTCTCTGGGAAGGGTGGATTCCAGCCCCTCGGGTCCACCCCCAGGGAAGCATAACACGGAACAGCAGCTGCAAAACTGGCTACCACCTCAGGCTTCAAACCTATGGTACTAAACATGTGAAAACCCAGTGGAGGAGGAGAGGGAGAAATTGATACACAAGTTGGCAGTGCAGTCCAAGTGTGGTAAAAGGGATTTATTTCTGGAGCACAGTAACTGAGATGCAAGTAGGAACATTCCATTTACCAGTCCCATACATGTTTTTGTGTCACAAAGACATACTAAGACTTTGGAAAAATTCCAAAGGGGATTACACTTGAAATGTGCTGTTTCTTTACCTTTTTTTCTTTTTTGCATTTATCTTTATCACATTGAACCAAACATAATAGCTTTACAGCTTACTAAACCTCAAACTTGTCCTCAAAGGAAGTAGTTTAAACATTTCCAACTGTAAATAAGCAATCCAGTGAAACCAAAAGCTGCTCAGCAAGTACACTTGCCATGTTGAGAGGACACGCACATGAGAGAAATCCAGCTGCTCTGGGAAGAGTGGGCCTCTTCAGAACAGAGACCCTAAGATGGTAAGGCAACCTTGTGGGTACAGCACTCTCCTTGGGAAACAAGTAAGGAAGAGATCTGGCTGGAGCCAGGTAAGAATAGAGATTAAAAAGGAGCTGAGCATGGTAGTACACATCTGTAATGCCAGCTACCAGGGAGGTCGAGGAAGGAAGACCACAAGTTCAAAGTCAATTTTGAACACTTAGCAAGACCTTGTTTCAAAATACAGAAACAAAAATGACACAGGGTATAGCTTAGTGAGAGTGCCTACAAAGCATACAGGAGGCCCTGGGTTCAATCCTCAGTACCGCAAAGGCCAAGAATAATACAACACCATTGCAGTGTTGCCAGTGACGGCACTTACCATGAATAAAAGGGCTGGAAGGCATGCCCCTGATGCACTCTCCTAGCTGTGCCAGCAACACATGCAGCCCAGTGATAAACTGGAAGAAGTTCCCCCATGCACCTGAACAGCGGGAACTTGATGGCATCAAGGACCCAGTTCCACTGGCAGGTGCCAACATGCTCCCAGAACAGCTGAGCCACCAAGTCCTTTAAAGAACACAGGTGCTGACATCGGGACGGCTGCCATGAAAACCCGAATGGATGGGTGCCACCCAGGGGTGCCAGGGATCCTGGCAATGTGGCATCTGGGCTCTGGCAGCCCTGTCTCATTTTCTGTCTGGGGCAAATGGGTGGTCCGTTTCTCCCTCAAACACAGAGCAGTGGCTGTCTGGAAGAAGCAGAACAATGGGAAAGTGGCGATGAATCCCCATGAGAGCCCAGCTCTCTGCTAATGTACCTGAAGTTTTCTGGGCAAAAATTTCTGACTCCTGGGCCCTGGTTTACTGTAAAGTATGGCTTAGAAGGACTTGTGCTAGAAACTACTGCGCTGGGTGGCTGAATAAAACAGAGCCTGAACACTGAGTGAAGCTGTGTGTATGTGTGGTGTGCAGGGTGCAGGTGAGTGATGTCTGGGTGGTGTGATGTGCGTGCACGGAAGAGGGTGGAGGCCCCCAAGCAGGCCCTCAAAGTCAAGTAGCTCTGCCACACTCCCAGTCCTGTACAGCCACACAGCAATGCTGGGTCCCCTTGTGGGTGAGGTTAGCAATAGATAACAGGAAAACTTCCCGTAGCAAATATCCCCTGGCCACCTGACTGCATTGCTTGTTTTTTGTTTTTTGGTTTTTGTTTTTGTTTTGGTACTGAGCATGGAACTCAAGGACTTGCGCTTACCCAGCAGGTTCTATGCTGTTAAGCTACATCCCCGGCCCCTGAATACATATTTCAAACATTATTCAATGCAGTGAAATTCAAGATCACTCACCAACCTTTTTTCAAACTTTTTTTTTTTTTTGCAGTACCGGGGATTGAACTCAGGACCTTGTGCTTGCAATGTAAGCATGGTGCCCCTGAGCTAAATCCCCAGCCCTCTTTTTTCAAACTTCTGACCATGAACCACATTAAGTTTACATGGCTTTCCAAGTTGCATAGGCCACACATCTAGAAATGAGTTTAGACTTATGTTCTGATTACACGGGCTATGTTCTGACATGTCCTATTCTGTTTGTGGCAGTGGCCCACTGAATTGATTTTTTTTAACCTTTCTTGGTATTAGGGATTTAAATTCAAGGCCTACACACTAGAATAATACATCCCCAGCCCTTTTTCAATTTTTTTTTTTTTTTTTTTGACAGGGTCTCATTAAGTTACTAAATTGCTCTGGCTGGGGTCAAACTTGCAATCTCCTACTTCTGTCTCACTGAAGCTGGGATCGCAAGTGATTGGCCAACATTGAATTGATATTGTGACGAACTTGCAGCTGGACACAAACAGCTGTTTTAGACCAAGCCTTCCTGCACAGAGCAGGCTCTGGCCTCAGAGAAAGTCACCAAGTGCCACCATGGGGGGACGGGGCATCCACCCTCGAAGAGAAGAAAGGAGGATCCTTTGACCAATTTAAAGTAAAGGGATCAGGATGGACCCAGGCTCAGTCTGGCAACCATCAATCCATCCACCTTCCCAAGTTGCCAGGCAAGTCTGAGCCATTCACGGGGACCAGCCCTATGCGATCTCTGCCCTAGCCAGATGCAAGAGAGCCAGGATCCAGGCCCCTCCGAAGTTCTGCTGGAGCACATGAGGCTACTCTGCGTTTCGTCTTCGCAGGGGTTGCAGTCCAGAAGGTTCCCCGAGGGTGCTAGCGCCCCACACCGGCTCCGCCCATGCCGAGCTACCCAGAAAGCGGTCGGAACTGGGCAGTGGGGCCCAATGGTCGTCACGCGGGCTGCGTGGAAGAAGCAGGACCCTGGAGCCCGCTGCGCCCCACCGCTGGGCCTGCTGGGACGGGAGGGTGCCGGGGGCGCTCGCGTTCTGCTGGAGCTGGAGGACGCACAGGGCTGGC